GCCTTGCAACTCTCCTATGGATGCCATTTTTGCCCAGTGTCTTTCTTATTGTAGCATCATGTACACTGACCTTAACTGAGGCAAGTGAGGCCTGCAGTTCTTTAGATGTTCATCTGGGTTCCTTTGAGACCTCCTGCATGAGTTGTCGATGCGCTCTTAGTGAAATTTTAGTAGGCCGCCCACTTGTGGGAAGGTTCACCACTGTTCCACATTAGTGGATTATGGCTTTCACTGTGGTTCGCTGGAGCCTTAGCAATGGCTTTGTAACCCTTTCCAGACTGGTAGATTTCAGTCACTTTGTTTAGCATCTGTATTTTTATCTTTTTAGAATATGGCATCATGTGCAGCTTTTACTTCTAGCCTGCATCACATTTCCAGACAGGTTGTGTTTAAGTGATGTTTAGGTTTAGCAGGTCTGGCAGTAATCATGTCTGGGTGTGGCTGGGGAAATTGAACCCAATAGTCAATTGAATTTGATCAACTTGTTGATTTATTCAGGGGAAATTACTTATTCACATATGGCCATGTCGGACTGAACAGAATTTTTCCTTCAGTAAATGAAATCATCATTTAAAAACAGCATTTTGTATTTGGATTGAAACATTTAAGTCTGACAAATATATAAAAATAGAGGAAATTGGGAAGGGGTGAATATTCTTTCACAGCACTGTACATAAAAGAAACTGAACATACAGCCTTTGCAAAAATCACATGAAATGACATGTTTTGTTGATTGTGAGAATAAGTTAACACACTTTGGCATATTTTAATAATAAACTGTTTATTTGCTGAATTTAACATATAGGAAAACATAAAACACGAATTGTGGCCTATGCAAAATTTATGGCACACTTTATAAAAACAAGAAAATAACATTTTGCTCAGATGAAGATAAAATCAGACTCTAACTGCATAAGCACCTCTGAGAGGAATGAGTTTGCTGAAAAGAATTCAGTTAGTTTTAAGCATATGACTAATAAAACTGTAATAACATGTTTAACACTGTACTTCTCTTATTGTCTCTCTTTAGTGTCTGAAGCTGGGCTGGTGGTGTTTGGAGTGCTGTGTGGTGTGCCATGTGCCATGCTGGCTGTTGTTCTGTTCTTCCTGTATCAGGATCTCTCTTTAAGGAGTTCAGCTGCCTGCACCTGTCCCTCAGTCATTTGACCAATACAGCCACCTCCATGGTTAAAATGACTTGGCCTGAGTAGACTGATAAATCAATGTGATTAGCCAGTTATTGATCTCAGCGTTACTGAGCTCTTTTTGAAGGGTGACTGACAAACAGTCTTCTCAGTAGTGGATGTGTTTATAAGTCATAAGCTTAGCATCGGTGTTGTATTGGACTTGGACATGTGTTTTGTGGCAAATTACATACCTGCTGCTGTTACAAGACAATTACTTTATAGTCAAATTTATAAACATCATTTAAATGAGCAAATCAAACATATCAACAGAAAAATTGCATGAAGAAACTGCCAATCAGTAACAGCAACAGAGAATTTAATAAAAATTACAATAGCAAAGTTTTTCTCATGTGCCTTATATATGTCTCTAAATGTTTTCTGAATATGTTACTTTTTCACATATTGTAATGTGATACATTGCTGTATATGTTTAGGGCAGTGTATTCAGTGTTCAGCCATCACTACTTCTTCAAAATATTCTGCCCAACTCTCTAAATAGTAACTTCTGCTTTATGTGGGCTCCTTCAGGAACTCAGCAGTGTGACTGAAAGTTGAATCATCATCAAAATAAAGATTATATTTTTGCTTCTGGAAGGAAAACATAGAAATGAATGTACTGCATAACATCACTCTGTTTCAGCAGCACTCTATGCTGTCATTAGGTTTGGGAAGTCTGAATTTTAGCTATTTTCTACTGCATACTGTAGATGTGTGATTCTAAGAATACATTGTTTTGTTCCTTGGCTCATTTAAATGGTCAAGGAAACTATTGTATAGAAATAAATGTTTTTGTGATGAATATGGTTTTGTAGTGTTGCTGGTGTACTGTATCCACCACAATGGAGGACCACACTTTCTACCAAACAAATGCAAAGTTTATGTTTAGATGAGTGCACACTTTTCATTCAAATACCAACACAATTTGAATAGAAATTAGGTTGTAACATTCATAGTGTTTTTTACTTTCCTAAAAAGAATAGAAAATGATATTCCAAAACATTGTATTAGCAAGTTAGCTTGCCGTTTTAACTCGATGATAGGTGGAAGTGGAGGGAGGGGGAGGTGAAACATGATATTATTGCTTAATATTATTTTCCCCCACCTCACTGGTGCACAGTGATGCAATCAAATGAAGAGGATGTTTTAGAGGTGGGCAAAAGTCATTACCTTTCTATCGAAGATTACAGGAAAACAAAGATTTTGTCTTTGCTATGATATTCTATGATATAATAAGATGACTTATGCTTAATACGACAAAGTACATCAACTAAAGAGGCTGACAAGTTGACTTGAGGAAAGCATTTTAGCATTTTACCTCAGCAGTAAGCCAAAATGTCCTCCTCTGTGTGAGAAATGAAGTTCCATTAAAAGCCCACATGTCCAGAGAGTAGCTTTATACCTCCTCTATCTCTCTCAATTCAACCTATAAGATCTCACCAATTAACTTGTGAGTTGAGTAAGGTAAAATGCTAAATTTTTGAGATGAGGTAAAATGCTAAATTTTGCAGTCGTGTGGCTCACCGATACTGGAGTCTGACATGTGGCCTAGACCTAGAACATTATCTAGAACATTTCAGTTTTAAAATCTGTTTGTAATTCTGCAGATTATAAAATGTATTGTGTAACAGCAAAATTTCTCACTGTTTCTCCTTGTAACATATACTGTAGGACCAAAAGTATGTGGACACCTGAACAGCACACCTATATGAGATTGTTGGACATTCCATTCCAAAACCATGGGCATTTCCTTTTCTCCTTTTCAGCTGTTACAGCCTCTACTCTTCTGGAAAGGTTTTAGAGTGTGTCTGTGAGAATTTGTGCCCATTCAGTCAAAAGAGCATTTTGTGAGATTCAGCACTGATGTTGGACAAGAAGGCCTGCCTCTCAATCAGTGTTCCAGTTCTTCCCACAGGTGTTCAGTGGGGTTAAGGTCAGGGATCGGTGCAGGACAGTAGAGTTCCTCCACACCAAACTCATCAAACCAAATCCTGAGAAACAGTCCAATAGCATTATCCCTCCTCCACCAAACTTTACTGTTGTTACTATGCATTGTGGAAGAGAACGTTTTCCTGGCATCCACCAAACCCGGATTCATCCGTCAGACTGCCAGATAGTGAACCATAAATCATCACACCATGCTTCCACTACTTCTGATCTAGTAACAATGTACTTTACACCACTGCAGCCAGCACTTGTTATTATGCATAGTGGTCTTAGGTTTGTGTGCAGCTGCTTGGCCATGAAAACCTGTTTTACATTCACAAAGTTCTTGTGCTAATTCTGCTTCCCGAGGCAGGTTGGCACTCCGTTGTGAGAACAGATTATTTTTATATGCTACTTGCTTAGGCACTCGGCCGCACCACCCTGTGGGTTTGCCTGGTTTTGCTTTGTGGTTGAGCTATTGTTGCCCCTAGACACTTCCGTTTCACAATAATAGCACTCACAGTTGGCAGGGGCAGATCTAGCAGGACAGAAATCTCACAAACTGACTTTTGGCAAAGGTGGCATCCTATCACAGTTTAAAGTCACTGAGCACTTCAGTACAACCTATTCTACTGTAAGTGTTTGTCTGTGGAGATGGCATGGCCAGTGAGAACACCAAAACCAAAATGCTCCCATTGTAATCAACAAAGCTGTTTCCACCAGATGGGAAAAGTTTGATTTAGAAACCAGTGCTATAGACTTTAGGTACAGAATAAATGAAAGTAAAGCTTTTCTAAGTATTTGGTGTCTCTAAGTATCTTTAGGTGTTTACCATTCAATATCCTGCTCATATTTACATTTTTAACTAACAAATTTTCCTAGCCTTCTGAACATTGCACATATTAGTACAGATCTATCAGAGTGTGGAGGTGACCTGTAGTTTCTAAAACTGCCGCAAACATTTCGGTGCTACTTCCTAGTAGTTCTGGTGTGACTGCTGACTGCTAAAATTATGCCAAAGTACATAAACTTCGCAGCTTCACATGTTCACTGCCACCACAGAGGGACATTCAAATGGTTTATAATAAAGAGGACCTGAACAGTGTTGTCACAGTGCATTTACCACGACTGAAAGAGTACTGTGGTTTCAAATATGGAGAAAGATGTAATGGTGTTTGATACAGAACAGGAAACTGCACCGTTTGGTACAATCTCAGTATGATGTTCTGCCTGGTGTGGGTTTGTTAATAATGAGACAAAGGGGAGGTAAGAGAAGGGAACATGATATACTCTTGCTTCTGTATGTAACCACTGTAGATGTTCATAGGTCTGTGTAATCCTTTAACATTGAAAGGTTTAATATATCATATATCATAATATATGATTTAAACTCTGAAAACAGAGTAAATGTGAAGGAAATAAGTGGATTTTTAATTTAAAATGTATCTTAAACATACTGTATATTATAATATGACTTGCAAAGACATTAGTGCTCACTTAATTCCTTAAACATTTTACATACAACAGCTTTAGGAAATAAACTGACATTAAAAATGACAATTACAAACATTTTCTACCTTTATTTGTCTATAGAAACAGACAGAGTTCTTTTTTTCTCTTTGGGGCAGATGGTGGCCAGAAAATAAGATATATGAGAAGTCCTGTGCTACTAGGTCCAGAGTTTTATCAAAACAGTAAATGTGTTTTACACAATAATAGCTGTAGCAATAATCTGCTTTGTCAGAGAACCTTTAGAGTTGTCTTTCTGTGTGGATGTGATGGTACAGACATAATGTCTTCAGAGAATAGATGAGTTGTTCTATCAGAGTGTGGAGTTGTTGTTCTATCAGAGTGTGGAGGTGTTGCTCTATCAGAGTGTGGAGGTGTTGCTCTATCAGAGTGTAGAGGTGTTGTTCTATCAGAGTGTGGAGGTGTTGTTCTATCAGAGTGTGGAGGTGTTGGTCTATCAGAGTGTGGAGGTGTTGCTCTATCAGAGTGTGGAGGTGTTGTTCTATCAGAGTGTGGAGGTGTTGTTCTAGCTGAGTGTGGTGGTGTTGTTCTATCACAGTGTGGAGGTGTTGCTCTATCAGAGTGTGCATGTGTTGTTCTAGCTGAGTGTGGAGGTGTTGTTCTATCAGAGTGCACAGGTGTTGTTCTAGCTGAGTGTGGTGGTGTTGGTCTATCAGAGTTTGGAGGTGTTGCTCTATCAGAGTGTGGAGGTGTTGTTCTATCAGAGTGTGGAGGTGTTGTTCTAGCTGAGTGTGGTGGTGTTGTTCTATCAGAGTGTGGAGGTGTTGCTCTATCAGAGTGTGCATGTGTTGTTATATCAGAGTGTGGAGGTGTTGTTCTACCAGAGTGTGGAGGTGTTGTTCTATCAGAGTGTGGAGGTGTTGCTCTATCAGAGTGTGGAGGTGTTGTTCTATCAGAGTGTGGAGGTGTTGTTCTATCAGAGTGCACAGGTGTTGTTCTATCAGAGTGTGGAGGTGTTGTTCTAGCTGAGTGTGAAGGTGCTGTTCTACTAGAGTGTGGAGGTGTTGATCTATCAGAGTGTGGAGGTGTTGTTCTACCAGAGTGTCGAGTTGTTGTTCTACCAGCGTGTGGCGGTGTTGTTCTATCAGAGTGTGGAGGTGTTGCTCTATCAGAGTGTGGAGGTGTTGTTTTATCAGAGTGCACAGGTGTTGTTCTATCAGAGTGTGGAGGTGTTGTTCTATCAGAGTGTGGAGGTGTTGTTCTATTAGAGTGTGGAGGTGTTGTTCTATCAGAGTGTGGAGTTGTTGTTCTAGCTAAGTGTGGAGGTGTTGTTCTATCAAAGTGTGGAGGTGTTGTTCTATTAGAGTGTGGAGGTGTTGTTCTATCACATTGCTTCTTCCTCTTGTTTATTGTGAGGGACCTTAAATGATCATTAGCATTAGTCTCATCTCTCCTCTGCTCATTGCTCAGACAAGACCTGAGTACAGAAACACTAAAAAGTCTCGTACAATCTTGATGTTTTGAGTTCCGGTTTGATCTGTCTGTAAAGCAATGTTAACAGGAGATCATTGATGTGTGGATTGGAGTGCAAACATTACTGAGGATTCCTTTCCAAGGTAATTTAACTGAATTTCTTCATCTGAGAGTTAACTTTCAGCAAATACATGGAAAAACTCTTTTCATCCAAATTCAGGTCTACATAAAGTAAGGATTAGTGTATTGTGGCAATTCTAAAACACTTGTCTTCATTCTAACTCACCAGGTTTTGACACTTTTCTGTTGTTACTGTTTAACAGCACAGAGTTTCAGTTTGTAATGCATCTGTTATTTTTCTAGGTCTGATATGTGTGTTATTGAAGACCCAGTCAGGGAATGTTTTTACTGGAACAGAAGGAGGCTGTGTTGAAATCTACTGTAATAATCCAGACGGATACCAATATGTGTCCAAATACTTTTGCTGTTGTCCATGAGGCTATTCTGGTGTTTTAATTAAAATTGAGAAAGCTGATAAAGTCATCTCTACAAGCAGATACTCTATACTGAACACTGTCTTCTTGAAGTCACCATCATACACCTCAGTGTAGAAGACTCTGGGGTTAATTAAACTGCTTACTCACTTGTGAAGAAAGTTTTTTCTTTTTTTAAAACAATTTAGATTTATCATGAGTTTGTCATGAGATTTTTAAATAAAAAAAAGGCTGTCCCACATATTTCATCACCAAAACAGTTTTAGTTTTTTTAGTCAATATTCTGAGCCTTATTTTAGCCACACCCCTGCATTATAGAGCAGGAAGTGACACTGCACCCCTGTCCCTTCATGGTCACATGGTAGCAGTTATATCCCATTGTTTTGAAGGAAATGTGTCCTAAAATTAGTGTGTAACCTCAAGGACTGTCACCACCAAAACACATATTTTCTGCAATTAAGTATCTTTTTTATGTTTTATGAAAAATGTTGGGATTTTATGTGTGTACAACTGTTCAGAGCTGTGTTAGCTAGTCATGTACTGGTTAGTAGTTTTGGAGTTATGCTCAAAATGAGCTAAAACTGGTGCAGCTGAAACAACCACTACTAACATTATTTTAATAAAATAAACATAAATAAAGTATAGGATCACTCAAAAAAGCTAAACGTTTGTCACTAAATTCCCAAAGCTAGCTTTGTGTTTTAGTCCAAATGCTGCAAAGGCTCAGCAGACCATATATAAAGCTATTTTTAATGCAAATGTAGCTCAAATGTTGATAAGTACTCAAAAAAAAAGCCAAAAATCATAACAAGTTACTAATTACTTCTCCCAAACTGTAATGGGATTACATTACATTGTTACCAATTTGTAAATTATCTACCAATATAGTGAGATATTTACACTTCATAAAATTACAATATCTCGTAGTAAAATGTCTAGAAATAAGTGAAATAATCTTATAATATTCTTACAACTGTCTAAAAATGAAAAATTTTAGATATATTGACTAGATTTAAAATGAGTTGACTTGCACTGTAGACGGTTGTGTCTAAGTTAAGATAGTGAGCCTTGTGTGTAACTTAAAAATGTGCATCCAGAGGGCCCCATTCCTGTTTGTGGCTTAGAGCCCCACAATCACTAAATCCGCTCTTCTTCCTGAGTGCTCCTTTTATATCCAAGCATAATAATATTATCTGTTTAAAATGAATTTTGAACAGTTCACAATGTTCCCAGTCTTAAATTGGCCCAGTTCCAGGTTTCTGGAATGTGTTGTAGGCATCATTTCCCATAAAAAAAGAAGTTATTAGGATAAATGATTAAATATCTTGTCTTTGTATTGTTTTTAATTAAATACAGGTGAGAGTGGATTTACAATTTTTTTTGTTTTTTTTCTTGCATTTTACTTACTGTCCTAACTTTTCTGGCATTAGGTTTGTATGAGTGTGGCATTTTATTCTTTTTTTTCTCCACTTTATTCTTTTTTCTGCTCTTGTGTGTTTTTGCTATTATTTTCCTATTCAACTGTAAAGTGCTTTGAGCTGCTCTTTGTATGAAAAGTTTGTTAGGATTCAAAGCATGTAGTGCTGGAACCCTATCATAATTGTTAGGATTATTATTACAATCATTAGCAGCAAATTAGTTTCAGACAAAGAAGGCAGCAGGGTACTTTGCTCTCTTCAGAGTTTACACCACTGGTTCTTCTTCCTGCTGTTTGTAAGGAACCAGAAACATGAACAGAAACAAACTGTGAGGTGTACTGCATAGCAATGAAAGTAAGATGAACACCTTTCTGAGGATTCTGTCACTGTTCCAAGGTAATTTAAATACTTTCTTAATCCAGTTTGACATGTTAACATGACTCTGTTGTTGTAGTTATGTGCTCAATATCATTACTATTAGCTTTAAATGAGTTAAGGTTAATTACCTTATAGATTTCCCAAAACTAAGTGTAATCTGTGTGTTAAACACAGAAAATAATCCTTTTCAGCCAAATGAGGATCTATATAACAATCTTTACTACGAGACTAGTCTTTAACTCTTTAACTCTACTTAATTCTCGTGTTTATTTTTGTTGTGGCTTTTTGGAAACACTTAGACGTTTAGTTTGTAATATATCTGTTATTTTTCTAGTTCTGATCTGTCTGGAAATGAAGAGCCAGATTGGAAATGTGTTTACTGGAACAGAAGGAGGCAGTGTGAAAATCTCCTGTAATTATCCAGATGAATACCAATATATGTCCAAGTACTTTTGCCGTGATCCATGTGGTTATTCTGATGTTTTAATTAAAACTGAGATTTCTAACAAAATCATCTCTAAAGGCAGATACTCTATACTGAACACTGTGTCTGCATGGAGCTTTTTTTCTGTCACCATTAAAAACCTCAGATTAGAAGACTCTGGGGTTTATTACTGTGGAGTGGATTTATGGGGAAAAGACATACTCAGTAAAGTAGAGGTCACTGTCAGGAAAGGTAAGCACAAACATAACTGCACACTCACTATTTTTTTTTTTTTGTTTTGGATTTTTATGGAATTTTGCCACCCCAGTATATTATCTGAACTTCAATATATAAAAGACTGTTTCCAAAAAATTGGGATGCTGTTGAAAATGTAAATGAAAACAGAATGCAATGATGTGAAAATCCTTTAAACCCTTTATTTAATTCAACATAGTACAAAGACAACAACAAAGATCTCTTCTTTTAGCAACACTCTGTAAGCATTTGGGAACTGAGGAGACCAACTGCTGTAGTTTTGAAAGTAATTTTTTTCCCATTTTTGCTTGATATAGAATTTCAGTTGCTCAGCAGTTCAAGGTCTCCTTTGTTAATATTTTTGTCTCATAATGCACCAAATGTCACCCATGCCATGTGCACTAATGCCCCCCCATACCATCACAGATGCTGGCTTTTGAACTGTGCGCTGATACCAAGACAGATGGTTCCTTTCCTCTTTAGCCTGGACAATGTCGCATCCATGATTTCCAAAAAGAATTTTTACATTTTGATTTGTTGAACCACAAGACACTTTTCCACTTCAACTCAGTCCATTTTAAATAAGCTTCGGCCCATTTGGGCTCATCTCCATCTGTAGTCTCTGCGCAGGTAAAAATATAATTAATACACAAGACACAAGAAGTATGTTACACATTCTGAATACAGGATACAGTAAGAGTCCTTGGACGAGACTCTGCACAACATTTGTGTACTTTGTAAGATGACTAAAAAATTGTAAGTCACTCTGGACAAGAGCATCCGCCAAGAGCTGTAAATGCAAATGTCTATGCTTATTATTAAAATTACTTATGTTAATTATTTGTGCTCTAATATAAGTGTAATCTTGATTTTTTGCAGTTCACTCAGTCTCGTCCACCATGACTCCTGCTTCAGAGTCCAGCACACAGAGTGACCACCAACTCACACATAGCACAGCTAGAGCGATAGCAACAGGTCCAGTTTCTATTTCTCTCTCTCTTTATGAAGAAGAAAAAATGGCTTTGTTACACCCTGAAAAAGCC